ATTTATGGTTACGATATCCCCAAGCGCTTAAATACCAAGAACAATCAATATAAAATATCAATATTAAAATTAAAATTACTGAACTAATTAGAGATATAAAGAGAATACATACCCTTTTCCATATCACCTCCTGTATCAGCTTGAGACACCAATATCAGCCCGAGGGCCAATATTGGTCGAAGGCTGATACAGAATGTGGGTATGTTTTATTATGTTTATTACGTACTAAGTAATAAAATACAGCACATATCAACTTGAGAAAAATACAAATAAATAATCATGCACTGACCACTGACATGTAGCTTTTTATATCAAAGAATAGTAATTTAAAATTAAGAGAATGTGAACAAAAAAATATGTGTATTATCGTGCACAAGTACTGTTTTTTTTTAAGTTTAATCTACCAGGGTTATAAATCCGTATCAACCCTGCAGATCCATATCAGAGCTGGAGGATCCGTATCCGCTCTGGAAGCTGAAAAGGTTATTGTGACGTCAGGCATATCGCATATGCAAAAAACCTGTATTTATTACTAAGTATGTAATAAATAAAGGTAACAGATTTTTCCAAACATGTATTGCATGGCCAAATTTCGTCCCCAAACATTGATAAAGTTAAAATAAACCCATTTTTTATGTTTTACTTAAATTTTAAAGTATATCTAAGTAGAAATAGTTGGAATGATCTAAACGATGCCGTCTCGGCAGAGTTCAAAATTAAGCAAAGATATATTTGGCAAAAAATTATCTTTAAAATCCATGTTTTAATTGCTGTAAATGTGGAAATTCATGCATGGGGGTAAGAAAGCTTTGGCAGAAATATTCCCCAGAGAACCATGCCTTTAGACATATTTTATACAAACTAAACATGTTAAACATAATCCTGGTGTCGCAGAAAGACCCCCTCCCACTAGTAATGCTCTTGCCCCTAATTAGCGTATTCCAGTTTACAGTAAACATGATTTCAATTAATATGGATAAATCGAATGCAATCAAATTCGTAGTAAAATGTTTTTTTTATCATTAGTAACACGAATAACTTTTATTTAAATCTATTTAGAATACCGATTATTCGTTATATTAAAAAATAATCCTATAGCCACTACCACAATCTGTACTCTAAATTCTTAAAGAATACGTTTTTCTATGGAATACATCATTGATTAGTAAGACCTTTGAATGGTTTTGTTAAGTCATTATGATTAAGTAAATTTGATTATCTGGATTTCTGTTAGCAATTAGTTTAATGAAAAACAAACAAACAAAAAAAATATTTAAAAAATGAATAAAAACTTCTTAAAATGCGAGGACAAGAATTAATTTCTTTCAACAAAAGATCGAAAAAATATCTAGAATATCAAAGTTGTTGTGGGTATGGTAAACATGTGCAATGACCAAAAGCCGAAGGTGTTATTCAATATCACTGCTCTTAATACCTTTTTTAATGCTTCATCTTCCTTTTCCTCCTAACTCTTCTTTACATTACACTGCATGAAAAGTCGGGTTTACTTTTACCTTAAATGCAATTTAAATGCTGCGGTTATTAAATGTTTAACTGCATAGTATAACATATTGTGGGATCGTAAACGTTAGAAAATAATTAGCATTTAATACGAGTTTAATGGAAAATTAAAAGAACAAATTTAATAAAGTTTGGAAAATTGTAAACTTACTAATACATTCAGATTTAAATCTTCCGTAAACAAATGTTATAGCTTTAGTATGTAAAATGTATAATTATTATTAAACATGCACATAAAATAAAGTTTTATGTTTATATTATATTGTTTGGTTAATAAAATTTAATGTAGAGTTTTACCTCATTATTTGTTCTTGTTTAATTCACACTTTACTGAACAATACTTCCTTAAACTGAATTATATACGGGAAAACTTACCAAATATGTCCAATTTAACCCTTTCATAAACTAATATTATACCTCATGTATAAATATAATTATATACATGGATTAAACATTTATTATTGATTTATTAAAGATTTAGTTTAATATTTATTTTTATCTCATATATATATATATATATATATATATATATATATATATATATATATATATATATATATATATATATATATATATATATATAAATAATTAAATTTAAAACACAAAGACCACAAAGTAAAGCATTAGTCCTTTCAAAATCCTTTTAAAAATCTCCAGATGCTTTAAAAATTTTCTATGTATGCTTTACTGTGTTGTCTTCGTGTTTTCAATTTCATTATTTTCACTTTACTACTATACCGACCACTGTGAATTCATGGACTTCTGATATATATAATTTTTTTCAATTATTTTACAATCACATACAAATCCATTTTTCATATAATTTTATTACATTATGTTAATGACATACAAATAAATAAATCTTAAAAAACTTAATAAGTCTATATAATATTTCAGAATTAATACCAAGGTACTAGTAATTGGAATTCAATGCCATTATTATTATTATTATAAATTCTTACATAGTGCTAAATATACTCTCAGAATTTAGAATTTTACAATACACAATTTAATGGAAATTAAGTTTTTAGACGCTGATAACAATTGGTCACAAAATAATTCATATCCAAACAAATTAATTACAACAATTTACAAAATAGAATTGCATACAACATTCAAATCTATCAGCATTAAATCTGCACAAAAGCAGTCTATTTGGACTTCAAAAAAAAAAAAAAAAAATACAATATCCATGATAGAAACAGTCCTTATCAAAACTGTTTAATGGGTTGTAAATTTAAAATAAAAGTTTATTCACCTCATTATGTGTCTTTCATATATAGCATGAAATACAAGGCCTTTTTGAAAAAATTCTACATGTGCTATAGGCAAATTTCTCAAAAAATGAATGTGGATAACTTAAAGCACAGAGTCATTATACTTTTTAGCATGCAATTTGAAAAATATTGTTGAAAGTGATAATTTTGAAATCATTCACAAAAGATTTTAAGATCTTGTTCCATGATAATTTCCTATTTTCCATCCTTAAAAAGTTTTGGACAGAAGAGAAAGTACATTATGACCACACAAATTGGTGAACATACTGGAATACAAGGGCATTCATTTATATAAATTAGCACAAACATTGCAAGTCAAAGAGCCAATGATTCTACATGTATATCAAGATCTAGGGGAATGGTACACTTATAACATTAAACATCTTTTGTCGTTTCAGTTTTAAGAATCTCAATAAGCACAAGCAGGTAGACAGGAATATGAATACTGTGAAACTACATATATCTCATTAAAACAATTTTAGGCTAATTTGAAATTGAGACATAAAATTGACCTTTACACTCAAAGCATTTTCTTCTAGCTAGTCTATGCCTAATATATGTTCAGAAACAATATATCTGGAATATTCATGTACAAATAATATCATGCATTAGTATATTCATGTACACATGATAAACGTTCTTTAACTCTTTATTTTTATTAATAGTTAAGTTGCCTTTTCTTCTTATTACAATATATTTTATGCATAAATGTCTTCTTAGTCTAGTTCTGACAGAGAAGCCTCACTCGCCCACAAGCAACAGCAAAAGGATCGGTCAGAGACGCCACCTTTCTCTTACTTGGGTATCAAGATCTGCAACTTACTGCCAGCAAAACTCTTTCAGACTACCCTTGCATTGTCTCCTAATTATTGTCGCAATAAATATCCATGCACTAATTATTCAAGTTAAACTTGTAAAAACATGGAAACAAGTCGGAGATTAAGAATGTTTGGCATGTGTGCTACACAATAAGCCAGTTGATCTGCAAACAATAAAAAATACGACAGCTTTTTAATCATTAACTGAGTACAGTAAACATTTTATGTTGACTGTGAAAAATACACCATCAAGAAAACTTCTTTTATATCATGGTTATGTGAATTCAAATTAAGGAAAAAGCATCACAATTACACAAAACAAGTAACAGCTGATAATTTATCTCTAATAGCCCATTTCTGTTCAATCGCTACATCATCAGGTTTATCACTTGTGGATTGAAACATAGCATATCCTCATCAAATCAATTTTACATTGGAACGTAAGACATTTTGATAAAGATATTTTCAGTAAATAATCTTCTAGTCTTTACCGTAAAATTTCAAGAATAAGCTACGAAACGTACATATAAAAAGGCCTGTATAAACATATGTACATGTTACAAAATTTTTTAGCCTTACTCTTTAAACTTAATGCAAAAAATTCTGGTCTTAAACTCTTTACTTCAAATGAAAGGAAACAAATTAATTTCTTACTCTTGCAATATAATATACATTAAAATCACTTTTTACCCTATTTACTCAGAAATCTCTTTATCTGGTCTGTTTAGTCTATTTTTTAAATCTAAGACAAACTAAGCCACTGACAGAGAAGCCTCACTCGCCCACAAGCAACAGCAAAAGGATCGGTCTTAGACACCACCTTTCTCTTACTTGGGTATCAAGATCTGCAACTTACTGCCAGCAAAGCTCTTTCAGACTACCCTTGCATTGTCTCCTACTTCTTTTCACAATAATTGTCCATACACTAATTATTTAAGTCAAACTTGTACATAAATGTAATTTATAAATCAAGATTAAAAATGTATGTGCATGTGTACTATACAAAATAAGCGAATCGATCTTCAAACAATAAAAAATATGACCGAGTTTTAATCTGTAATCAAGCATCAGAAAACACTTTAACTGTCAAAAATACAACACTAGGTATATTTTTCTTATATAACATTTGAATGTGTCAATTCAAGTTAAGTAAAAAAAGCAACACAATTATGCAAAACAGTAGCAACTCAGATATTTGATCTCTAATAGCCCATTTCTGTTCAATCGCTACATCATCAGGTTTGTCTTTTTTGGATTCCTTATTTATCCTAATTCTTCTGATGCTCTGCCTTTTAGACAGCTTTGATTTGTGAGTGGCACTTTTGGTGTCTAGTTCTTCGAATACTTTTTAACATTCATCAGAACGCCACTTTCTCTGGTACATCACCATTCTTTGCTTTAATGGAATCAGCTTTTCCAATCGGCGTTTCTTCGTCTTGTATGGATTGAAAGTATATGTGTATTGCACCTAAAATATGACATTGCAGCAAAAATTAGCAAAAGTTAAGAATGTCTGAAATCTTTAGTAAGATACATTATTTAATAAATGATTATTAAGATTCTTTTTCAAAACTTGAGATTACAATCACACATATATCAAATATCCAAGGTTGTAAAGTAAACCCACAGCTAGAGTAACATATACCCTTTATTGACTGTGAGCAAATTAACATTTGCATTTATTTAATTCTAGACATTAACAATGAAAAAATATAATTATAAAAAATTTTGAGCTCTGTGTCCAAGTCTTTTTGAATTTTGCACTTGGTTGATCTCTTTCAGAAGTTAACAATTCTTTTCTTCCACTATCATCATATGAGCAATGTTTGAATTTTTGACTTGCAAATCAAACAAAAAATTACATGATTAAATTAAAGTATTTTTATATAAATGATACCATCATTCACCAGATGTATTAAATATTATACAATTATGGACTCTTTTGGTGTTGAATGTGGTTTGTTATTCACCACTCACCAGAAAAATATCAATATTGGCCGAGACGAAGCCGAGGTCAATATTGATATTTCTGGTGATTAAAAAACTACATGTATATTCAACACCATAAGAGTCCATAATTATTGTTTTGTTATATAGTCCAGATTTGAATAAATAAGATACTGAAGGCTGCATGACGACACCATTTTCATTTAAGAACTTCTGTCATTGAAAATAGAAAAAAAATGTTCAGATTACAATTTGTAACTTCCGTGTTTTCCTTTCAAAGTTACGCTATGTGGAATATGTCCATATAATCCTGTGATAGGTTTAATGTATAACATTTTTCCTGCTCAGATACACAGCTGGCTGCGGCCGTTGCAACCATTGTTTACAATGTTGTTTGAGGTGTTGATTGTGATGTCACAATGCCGCTGCATGCGCACTGACCCTCCGGTAAATAAGGCCTCAAAGGTGATTATGTGGTGTTATGAACTGTTTGCGCTTGTATAGATTATGTAAGGACTTTAAATAGACTATATAATAATAAAGTATGTTTAACATACATTTAAATATTATTACATAAACTTTACATTTTTTATTCTAAAGATATGCTTTATACTGACCTCTAACAAATGCTCAGCAAGCTAGATAGATGCCTACGACATACTGGCATATATGTTCAGTCATTTCTTTGTTTCCATCTGATGAAGGTCTGCAACACATGATCTCATCATATCAAATTACCTGAATTCCATTTAAAGAACAGTACTATAAATTTTATTCCACAGAAAATATTCTACATAATCCATAAACTAATACTTTTACCTTTAACATAATCATTCCAGCATTTGAAATTGAATGTGATCCAAAAATAAATTACCAAGTAATGGTATATGCATGTTCTATATCAACATTTCTTATCCACTAGATGGCTATCTCTATCATAGCTTAATTGTTGGTAGATTGTTTATTTTCTCTTGTCTTTCAGTAAAAATTTAATAAATACTTCAAACCAACAAAGGATCCAAAGGCCACATCACTCACCTGAGCAACCATGGCCATAACTTTGACCAAAACAAAACAAGAGGCCCATGGGCCACAACGCTCACCTGAGTAACTTTGGCCTTGCTGTTTTTCACCCGATTTCCCCCTTGTAATACCTATTGTGGCCCCGCCCTACCCCAGGGGTCATGATTTGAACAATTTAGAATCTACACTACCCCAGGATGCTTCCACATAAGTTTCAGCTTTTCTGGCCCAGTGGTTCTTGAGAAGAAGATTTTTAAAGATATTTTCTACATATTTCAATGTAAAACTTGGATTCCCTATTGTGGCCCCGCCCTACCCCTGGGGGTCATGGTTTTTACAATTTAGAATCTACACTACCCCAGGATGCTTCCACATAAGTTTCAGCTTTTCTGGCCCAGTGGTTCTTGAGAAGAAGATTTTTAAAGATTTTTTCTACATATTTCAATGTAAATCTTGGATTCCCTATTGTGGCCCCGCCCTACCCCAGGGGTCATGATTTGAACAATTTAGAATCTACACTACCCAAGGATGCTTCCACATAAGTTTCAGCTTTTCTGGCCCAGTGGTTCTTGAGAAGAAGATTTTTAAAGATATTTTCTACATATTTCAATGTAAAACTTGGATTCCCTATTGTGGCCCCGCCCTACCCCTGGGGGTCATGGTTTTTACAATTTAGAATCTACACTACCCCAGGATGCTTCCACATAAGTTTCAGCTTTTCTGGCCCAGTGGTTCTTGAGAAGAAGATTTTTAAAGATTTTTTCTACATATTTCAATGTAAAACTTGGATTCCCTATTGTGGCCCCGCCCTACCCCTGGGGGTCATGGTTTTTACAATTTAGAATCTACACTACCCCAGGATGCTTCCACATAAGTTTCAGCTTTTCTGGCCCAGTGGTTCTTGAGAAGAAGATTTTTAAAGATTTTTTCTACATATTTCAATGTAAAACTTGGATTCCCTATTGTGGCCCTGTCCTACCCCCGGGGTCATGATTTGAACAATTTAGAATCTACACTACCCCAGGATGCTTCCACATAAGTTTCAGCTTTTCTGGCCCAGTGGTTCTTGAGAAGAAGATTTTTTAATGACCCCACCCTATTTTTGTCTTTTCTTGATTATCTCCCCTTGGAAGGGGGCTTGGCCCTTTATTTTAACAATTTAAACTCCCCTTCACCCAAGGATGCTTTGTACCAAGTTTGGTTAAAATTGGCCCAGTGGTTCTTGAGAAGAAGTTGAAAATGAGAAAAGTTTACAGACGGACGGACGGACGGACGACGGACAACGGGTGATCAGAAAAGCTCACTTGAGCTTTCAGCTCAGGTGAGCTAAAAAGGGGGGGGGGGGGTCAGGAGCACCTCATGGGGTCATATGTCTAGATCTTTATAACACTTGAAATGCCACACAAGTTGTGTGGTGTATCAAGTGTTTTTAAGATCTGACAATTGCAAGGAACAAGAATATATGATTTAGTGTAGCCCCACCCTACTTTCGGGTGATCAGCATGTCATAGTACAATTTTCATATCATATGTATTCATATCAATACACAATATTTAAGGTGCCAAGTAGAGATTGGTCATCTGATATCCTGTTCAACTATGTCTGACACACATGTACAGATATTTAATCACATATCATGGAAAACAATAAGGTATGATGATTTGAACAAACTAAAAGCTACTTTAATTGAGGATGCTTCAACATAAGTTCCAATTTTTCTGGATAAATGGTTCAAGATTTTCTTTTAAATTGCCAATACATTTTCATTAAATTTGAATCATCTCCCCTTGAAAATGTTACAATTTTTTTTATGGTTGGATAGAAAGACATTTTCATTAAATTTAAATCATCTCCCCTTGAAAATGTTACTAGTTTTTTTTATGGTTAGATAGAAAGACAGATGGAAGACGACAAAATGTGATCAGAAAAACTCGCTTAAGCTTTCATCTCTTGTGAGCTTAAAAGTGCATGTTATTAATTTTTTTCTTACTTCAACGTTTGGCTTCCACCATCAGATTTCAGTTTCCATTCAAGCTTTTGTGAATTGTCATGGGGATATCCAGTCTGAAAGTATACATTCACAGATTAACATATCAATTACAATTAAAACATCCTGATTATGCCTTTAAATGAAATCACTTGAAGCTAGACACAATGATAGTACATCATTTAGCTTTATCATAATACATGTTGCTTTATTATAATTGTAGCTTTAACAAAACAAGAAATCTGTGAGCCAATCATGAATGCTCAATAGTGATATAACCAATCAACCCCCCCCCCCCCCCCCCCCCCCTTTTGATGTGAATACACAAGTCAGTTAAAAATAACTGTGCTATCATCATGATCATTTGACAAGAAGTTGACATAACATTTAAACAAAAATGAATCCCAGTAATGTATTCCAGAGTTAGTTACGATACTTGTATACAGTATACATTATTACAATGTATATGGGAATAACATATATTGCAATTACAGCAATTCTGCAAAACTCCTTCATAGCAAATTTCAAGGGACCAAAGAAAGATCTTCGCTATAATCTTAATTCATTATATGTTTAATATAGTGAATTCATAAGAAATCCTATACCGAATTTGTTATAAAACAGTCAGCTAACAGTACTTCAAACTATTGTATGTTATATAATCGATATCACCCTCAGTTACAAAAATTGTCAATACAACCTTTTCACTTCCTTAGATGCACAATTAAAGAATTTAGTGTATAATATTTAGATTTGAACATTTAAATATTATCTAACCAATGCATTTGAAATGTCAGAAAATAATGAAACCTGCCATATATATTCATCCTTTAGCTTCATAATCATATCCATGCTAACAGATACATCTGTAACAAATTAAAAATAGAACCGATGAAATAAAGATTTTATTTCCAGAACAATTTTTTTAATTGTGGCAAATATATATGATTTACATACATGGTGACTCACAAACATATGGAGTATTTATTGATGACTCGGGTGTCCACAACTCAAATTTATTGTCAACATGAACAATATCATTAAAGGATCCATTAAATTTCTGAGTTAACAATGCTAATGTAGTGTCATCTGCATCTTCATCGAATTCCTCCTCATGATCTTAAAATCTTATGTATATTTAATGAAATTTGTAATGAAAAATATTTGTTTTACTAAAATGAAAAAAAAAATGCATTAAAATATCTTAAAATTACTTCGTCATAGCCATAAATTTGTTATATATAGCCATGTTCGTTACATACAGCAATTTTCTATAGGTTTATATAAGGACTTTGCTGGACATAATCAAAAGTTCGCTATCTGTATCTATGTTTGTTAAATTAGAGTTTTGCTGTATATAGGAATTAGAATTTCAAGCATCTGCAATTAGCAGTTGCTGAGAACTGTGACGGAAATTCGTTATGGACAAAAACATGCATGCACAGACAGACAGACAAAAACGGTATTATACTGCCCTCTCATTCTGAAGGGACCTAGCCGGGGTATAATTATTCGGCCTATAAAAAATGTTTTGTTTGGTAATGAATTCTAGCATTCTTTTAATTTCAGCTATAGAAATAATGAAATAAAACTTTTGCACATTAATTCTATTTGAGTAATACAGTACATTTGTGTGTCTCTATAAAACCCCCTTACTCCTTCACTTTTGGGAAACTGTGAGCTGTTAGTAAACAAATGCGATTGTGATGTCATTTTCTACATGCAGAAAAACTACAAAAAATCAAATGCCGAGAAATTAGTACAGTAAAGTTCAAGAATGCGATAAAAAAATATTAAATAACAATTACACTTGATCTATTGTATCTTATCATATTTTATGTGAAATCAGCGAATACTTTTTCCTTTATCAGTGAGTGTTTATGCACTATTCCATGCGCTATTCCTCCGACATGTGCGTTAATAGCGAGCGCAGCGAGGTGGTGCGAAGCGCCGCTCACGTAGCGAGCTCCATAGACAACGTGTACGAACGGAGGAAATTCGAGTTGAAATCTGCACATTGTTCACAGAAATTTTTATTGTCCCATGTGAAAATATGCCATACTCCCAATAATCCTTTGCGGTGCATAGCAACATGGTGGCATAAGCATAGCAACAACTTACTTGATAAAATTAATAAATAACGAATTAATTCAATTTCCATGTGCCGTAATTACCCACAAAACTATCGCTTGCATCCCTGGTAAACACGACTTTGTATGTGACGTCATATTTTTGTCACTTCAACGACTCGGGTATTTCCAATTTTGTCGGAAATATCCGAGAAGTTAGGAATTTCGATCCCAATGCATTGGGAGTCGGCAACATTAGAGAATATGTACGTCAATAACGGTTTACAAAAAAAATTATGTACGATACTCAGTAAACGCGCGATAAAAGTGTAATAAGCAATGTAAAACAACATTTGAGATGTGTTGAGTTTTAGAAAATGAACTGTGCTCGCCCTAACGGTTTCACCGTCGGACATATTATGCTCATTTTTACATGTCAGTCATTCTTATGAAGGTTTTAGCCAAAGGATTATTATGACATACCATATTGAATAGTTATACGGCTAAAAATATTTTATTTTTCGTCTCAAATTGCCCCAATATGCTACGTTGGATATAACATAGTGTGACGTTCATACATATACGAGTCATCTATAGGTATTGAAGGTCATAATGGTCATGTTGCACGTTTTTTAGTGTTGATGTAGCTACAGAACTGTAGCTCTCCGAAAAAAATATATATTGACAGACCGGAGACTGGTCGTCCATCCCAATTGTTTCAGACCAGCGAGCTAGATTTTGCAGCTAGTGTTGATGTACATGTTAATAATGACTTTTTTTTTCTTAAACAGTATGTTTACCTGCTTGACCTTGAGCATGTTGAGGTGCCCTTTTCTTCCCTTTCTCAAATGTCTTGCATTTTCCCCCAATAATTTCATCGATGTATGAATCCGATGGTTCTGGTGAATCGAAACTATTCCATGAGCATGATAAGGATCCATCCTCCTCACTAATTTCCGGCCTGTCCGACATGTTTGGTGCTGTTTGGCGGGCTCGGAATATTCGCGATGCTGCTGCCTGATTTTGATTGGCTAATTTATAATTATGTATAGCGTCCGCGTAGAGGGAAAAATCATTTTATATTAGATAGGCCTATTTGATTTTTTATTATTATTATTTCTCAAACTTTAAAAGGAAAGAAAATTAAAAAAAAAAGATTTTGATTTAAATTTTTTGGAAGGGCAGATAACTCTATTATAAAAAAAAAAAAACTGAGCCTGAGTTGTAACAGTGTAAATGATCATGACATATTGATGATTTTTTTCCTAATATTTAATTAGATATGTTAAGTAAATTAGATTTAAGTCGTCTTTAAGAATTTTAAATATATGAGCATTTATAGATAAATACAATAGTAAATAACAATCTATGATTATTAAGAGTGTAGCACAGTCCAATTTTTACAAAATTCGATATTTGCAAATACAGCAGCGATCTCAGTATAAAGTAAAATCTCTTTCGAATTAAATCTCTCTCTCTCTCTCATGATATTCTCCTGAATCAAACGTTATATAAAAAATTCAAATATCTTTATTCATTTGGTTCATAATAAAATTGTTAAAATTTCAGGGTGGGGCACCTGTTTTTAAAGTATGTTCTACCAATATTTTTGATCACAGTGGTCTATCGCCAGAATACTTGAATAAGTAGTAAGTCTTGCGTCATTCTCAAATTAATTTTTGTACGTTCAAAGATCTGATTGAATTAATATTTTATGCAATGCGTTAAGTAAAGGCTGAGAGAGAAAGAGAGAGAGAGAGATGATCCTTTGAAACTGGACAATTTTGGCTACCAAACGGGATCGAGTAGGTTTTAGAATAAACAGCATCAAAGTTAACAGAACAATTTGACCCAGTTTCATAATACTTTTTTTTTCGACAAATCTAGATCTAGTACTACCGTACTAATAATATACATTGTCAATATTAAATTATTTCAGAGTTAATAAAAAGCCAAACAAAAGCGATATATATAGGACGCTTTAATGTAAATGTTTTTGTCTTTTTCCAATAATAAATATGTAAACAATAATTATTCTGTATAAAATAAAAAAAAATTATTGACACATTATTTATCACATATATAAAATACCAAAAACATACTTAAACTAAAAGTATAAGCGGATTTACTTTTACATGTCGATTTTCTTAAACGAAACGTATATAATTTCTTCTATTAAACTATATTATTCTCGATGTTTTTTGCATTAAATCTGATTATACTTATTTGAAAAATGTAGTAAATTATATCACAATATATTTTATATATAATGTAACGTTATACATAAATTAAATTCAAAACAAGAAATTTAATTAAGTAAACAAATTTATTAAATTATATTAAACGCAACTTTTCATGCAGTGTTAACTTTTCAGATCCTTTATTTATGACTTTTATGTAACCCTCTTCGATCCCCTTCATCGATTTGCTTACCCTCTTCTCTCCCCCTTCTATTTTCCCCCTTTCTTCTTCACAGTATACCTGAAATATTTAAATCTATTTTTTCCCTGATCAAATATTTTCAAAGAAACATTTTTTCTATAAGTAACATTAATTATTTAATCTACTTCTTCTCACATGTATTTCCTTAACATTCATTAGTAAACTAACCCTAAAAAATACTATACTAAACTATAGTTAACTAAAGTTTATTAATACTATTGTAAACTATAGTTAACTATAGTTTACAATAGTTAACTACAGTAAATCAAAGTTTTAAAGGTATCATTATAGTAAATAAGTTTTTTCAACATGATCACTATGGTGTCATTATTATCACTATTGTAAATCAAAGTTTTAAACTTATCACTATAGCCAATCAAAGTTTTTAAAGTGATCACTATACATGTAGTATTTCAAAATTTTCAAAGTTATCACTATAGTGTCATAGTGATCACTATAGTTAATCAAAGTTTTCAAACTTGTCACTATAGTAAATCAAAGTGTCAAAAGCATCACTATAGTGAGCTATAGTTTTCATAGTTTCAACT